GAGCACCTCTGCAAAAACAGTGATAATGTGCGAGTGTGGTGAAAGTGTTGAATGATGATGAAAGTATTTTCTTTTTGGGGATTTTCTTTCTTTTTTTTTTTGGGTCACCCTGCCTCGGTGGGAAACGGCCGACTTGTTGAAGGCAGGGTGACCCAAAAAGAAAGAAAATCCCCAAAAAGAAAATACTTTCATCATCATTCAACACTTTCACCTCACTCACACATAATCACTGTTTTTGCAGAGGTGCTCAGAACACAACAGTTTAGAAGCATATACGTATAAAGATACACAACATATCCCTCCAAACTGCTAGTATCCCAAAACCCCTCCTTTAGAGTGCAGGCATTGTACTTCCCATTTCCAGGACTCAAGTCCGGCTATATAAAAATAACCGGTTTCCCTGAATCCCTTCACTAAATATTACCCTGCTCACACTCCAACAGATCGTCAGGTCCCAAATACCATTCGTCTCCATTCAATCCTATCAAACACGCTCATGCACGCCTGCTGGAAGTCCAAGCCCCTCGCCCACAAAACCTCCCTTACCCCTTCCTTCCAACCTTTTCGAGGACGACCCTTACCCCGCCTTTCTTCTCCTACAGATTTAAATGCTCTCCACGTCATTCTACTTTGATCCATTCTCTCTAAATGACCAAACCACCTCAACAACCCCTCTTCAGCTCTCTGACTAATACTTTTATTAACTCCACACCTTCTCCTAATTTCCACACTCCGAATTTTCTGCATAATATTTACACCACACATTGCCCTTGGACAGGACATCTCCACCGCCTCCAACCGTCTCCTCGCTGCTGCATTCACAACCCAAGCTTCACACCCATATAAGAGTGTTGGTACTACTATACTTTCATACATTCCCTTCTTTGCCTCCATAGATAACGTTTTTTGACTCCACATTATCTATGGAGGCAAAGAAGGGAATGTATGAAAGTATAGTAGTACCAACACTCTTATATGGGTGTGAAGCTTGGGTTGTGAATGCAGCAGCATTGGTCATCTCCCACTTAGGCAGAGTGACCTTAAAAAGAAAAACACTTTCACCATCATTCACACATAATCACTGTCTTTGCAGAGGCGCTCAGATATGACAGTTTAGATGTCAATCCAAACAGCCAATATCCCAAACCCCTCCTTTAACCCTTAAATGGCCCAAACGTATATATACGTTTTTTCAACATTTGAAAGTATGTAAAAAAATGTAGATCTTCTTTCTTGTTTTACATTTAAAAATGTGTAAAGAAAACTTTTATCTACATTTGTTTTTTTGTTATTTTTGAAAAGATGTAAAAAAAAACGTAGATCTACTTTTGGAGCACTACGGATTTGAACGGCGATCTGTTTGGACCGTTTAAGGGTTAAACTCCAGGCACTGTACTTCCCACCTCCAGGACTCAAGTCTGGTTAACTGGTTTCCCTGCATCCCTTCACAAAATATTACCTTGCTCACACTCCACTTGCTCATCAGGTCCCAAAAACCTTTCATTCCCATTCACTCCTATCTACAGGGAGCATAGTGACGAAGTGTCAGGTGAAAAAAGTTGAAGACAAATGCAGTGTAATGTGATCCTTCAACATTCCTCACTTGACCCTTCATGTCACTATGCTCCCTATATATATATATGCACGTAATCTCTGCCCATGACAATCTATTTGTGATTTAATAGATCCCACTGTGGGAGTGATACACTGCCAAATAAAGTATAAACCTTTTCCACCAAAAGCAATTTATTTTTTTCTCTGCTTGTACACTATACAAGTCCAGGACTTATGTAGGGTAACAAAAGAACTTGTATCTTGGTTAATATTTTCATTACTCAAATCAATCAGTATTAAAGCATGAAAATACTAGAGAACATGAAGTTACTGAACACTTGCAAGTATTACTGCTAGTAAGTAAAGTCAGTGTTGTGGTGTTAGTCAAGCTAGGAAAAATCTCAGTAGTTTAGTTTCTATAACAAACAGATAAGAGGTTTCAAGGCACTGTATTACTTAACAATGAAGTATCAGTAATTAAATTTGAAGTACACATGATTTGCATTTACAAGAAAAGTTCACCAATGCAGGATCAGTTATATAATGGCCAGTTATCAACAAAATTCCAATGTGTGTAGTTATTACTTAAAGGAGATCATAATTATAACTCATTCCAATAGTGTCATTAATCATATTATTGTAAACTGTATGAATATTATCAAAAATGTGTCTTATATATTACACGTCTAAGTAATACAACACAATTTATAAGTTTTTAATTATAGTTACTATGCATGTCCAAGAGAAAAAAAAAATGGTAACGAAGAAACACACATTTGTAAGAAATACTTTTGTAATGCAAAATTATAATTTAATAAAATTTTGATGAATTAAGTTTTAGTCTGTTAAAATATGAAGCCATTACAACTTTTCCAAAATATTAAATGCCAGTTAATTTTCTTCCTATTGCTTGCTACTGTGTTTATACCTATTAAACTTTTACCTTAACCCTATCTCTGTCTCCCACATATACAGGTCGCCCATCACTTATCTGGTTCCATTAGCAATCCGGCACCAATTTCGGTCAGTATAATTTCAAATTTCATCATTATACTGACTCAGATCAATATACTGACTCAAATTTCGTTATACTGATTCAGATATTGTGCAGATGGTTGTAAATCCACAGCAGCACGCCAGTGGAGGAGAAAGCAGTGATGAAAATGAGGATGATGTAGCAGAAAGAGTTTCTATTGATAGATTAATTAAGTGTATTCTAACCTAATCACTCTAATTCGGCGAACTCACTAATCCGGCACACTACTGGTCCCAATGATGCCGGATTAGTGATGGCTGCCCTGTATACTGTATATCTATGTTACTGACCCTAGTATCGCACTCATGGAGAATTATATATTAAACACAGCTCTTCCCAAATACATTGCAACAGTACATTTTGACCTAGACCTGAGAGAATGGGTCTCTGCGATTAGTGTACACAGTAAAGAAATATCCTGCCCCAGAGGGTGAATGACAGGAAAAGTTAAAGTAGTGAATTTGAGTTTTTTTTTTAATGGTGGTTTTATGCTTTTATTGGCTGTTTCTTGATATCAGCTGATAGACTAAAAGACATACTAGTGACAGATGATTTTGGTCAGTTTCAGGGCCTAAAGAACTTAGAATAGGGCTCAAAGTAGTGGAAATATTTGATTTTTGATGATTTTCCACAGGAAGGATAGGTCTTCTATTCTGTTCTGTTTTATGGGATTTTAATAGGCCTGCTTCAATTGCTGGGACACCCTAAACCATGACCAATCATTCTTGGCTATATTTTAAGGGTAAACTTTGATTTTTTTTGTCTGGTGACAGATTCAAAATGGTGGGCAAGTGTTATATACGAGATGACTAGGAACATAAGTAATGAACAGAGGAGAGGTTGCTTTAGTGGCTGAAATACATACAGTGCTTATTTTGGATTCTGTTTGTAAACTGGTATTTGTTGAATTTTGTATAAAACTGTCCAAGTTACTGACTTTTGTACACTTCATAGGGTAGCTGACTAGCCAGGTTTTTTCGTGTTCCATCAATAGAATGAAAGGTTTGCTAGTGAAATACCTGGGATTTTGGTCAAACTGAGCAATTGATTTGGCTTAAAATATGACTCAAAGTGAATGAAATTGCCAATGAGTAAATTGTTCCCAGACTGCCAACTATGTACCTGTGTAATTCCATAAGTTTTCCATCCAAGTTTGCATTTGTGGTGTTATTACCTTCAGAAAAAGATTCTATACCATTTCAGAAGTTTTTTGTTGTTGAAAAATCATGACACTGTCAGCACTTAATTTCAAGGAATGCGACAGGGAAAGGGTCAAGTAATGCAACTATTTTTTTTTTGTTTTAGTCTTGATAAGTTTCCTCCATACAATATAGCTACAGTACTTAACATTATAAACCTAAGTTACTGTAATAAGAGTTGGACTTGTTGGCTGAAAGAACAACAAAAAAGGTATGAATAAGTCCCATAGCATTTCATAGTCTATTAAACACTGTTAAACAATATTAACTGTAAGGCAAGCCAATTCAGTGCACTTCACACCTTGTAGAGACAGACCATTCATTAATACAACAATAACAATGGTTTAAGCACTGTTTTGTCTTACTTTTTAAAGGCACTCAGATAGTAATGACCAAAGCAGCTGGCAAAAACAAAAATATTGGCAAGATAAAGAAACTATAAAGTGAGCTACAAAATGTGTGTATACCGAGTCCTTTTGGAAAGTTACACCTTCAATCAATGACCTTTTTAAAGCTTGTATACCCAATAAGCTTGCTAAAGCTTGTAGGCACCATAAGAGAACTTCAAAATATTTAGTATATACGTACTTTATATAATTTAAATACTGTAATACTGGGCCACTTTTTTAGAGTTATATTTTATGCACAATTTTCTACTTTTGCTTTGTCAAAAACCTTTTCAAACACATCAAGACAGGAATCATTTAGAATTTTTCTAATTATGATAACAAACCATTATGTCAAGACTTGTTTTTCTAAACCATTTTCATCACACGTTTTATAATAATTTCTTGATACAAAATTTGGTCTTGTAGAGTAATTTCAACCATCTTCTTGATGGTTTAACACAGCCCAAAGTAGATCAGTATCAGTAAATAAATCACCAGTTTTATCTAGTTCTCAGCAACTTTAAACATAAATTAACTAAATATTTCCTAACATGATGCCATCTGTAATGATGTTTAGCAAAATAAAATTCTCATCTATAGAGAATGTTCTTGAGCAACTACCAGCCTGCATCTCAGAGGAAATATCTTCCTCATTATCTGGACAAGTATTAATATGGAATAATATAAAATATTAAAGCTAGTAAAGACAGCTCTGGCTATATTAGAATGTTGAGTAGGAAAGGTATGTGACCATCTGTAAGGCACTAGTATGCAATAGGCTCTGCAGAATATACAAACTTAAAAAAACTAAAAATCCCTTACCCCCTTGCTCTCCTAACATATATAACGTTTTGGCACCAGCATCTTGGCTCTACAGAATAAGAAAAATAAAGAATTAACACACTTCTCTGATTGAGACTCCTTGTTGAAAAGGTTCATTAAAAAAAAAAAATCTTTAACCACCTAAAGCTATGCAAGTTCATATTTTCATACAAACTGTACATGCAACATGGCAACCAAACAGAACACTAAAAGTATAAAACAGGATGAGGAAATCATCCCAAGGAAACACACACTCTCATCACCAAGTATCAATGCCTCTCAAACCTGCACATGCTTGTGTAAATATTATCAACATTACTACTAAAAGCAAATATTGATTCTTAATTTTGTTGTCCCCTTTTGTGCACACAAACAAACATCTCATACTTTGCTAATTCTTTGATGCATTACCTTCTTTCATCACCACAACCTTCCAGTAAACAGTATAACCATCAACCTCCAGCATTCCAGTCTTAATCCTATTTATCTATCCATGCTTCTTTTTCCATTATCAAACCTTTTACAGTTTCACCTCACTTGTACCGATTCTCTCTCTCTTGTTCTTTACTCATTTATACATTTATCATTCCTCTTTTCCACATACATGAAATCTGTTGCAACTGCAGTCTACATTCAACAAATTCTCAAAATATTACTCTATATTCACATATTTAACACAATTTGAGATATACACCTGTGAAAAGATTAAAATATTTTATACCCTCACAGACCAGCCTGGGTCCAGGCTTTTTTCCTGAATGCCTGTTCAACCAAGCTGTTGCAACTGGTGGCCCAGTGCCTTCCTCACACATTTATCCCAGCCTGGTTAATTTGGAAATGTTCCAGTTTCCTTTCAAAAACTTAACATCTGTTCCAGCAATATTTCTGATATCAGCTGGTAGTAAGTCTTAAACCACAGATGGTGACAGAGTTCTCTTATCATGTCCCGGCTTTTCACTAGGTCTATTTTACACTACCACAGCAGTAAGTTGCTATGGTAGTGAAAAGTAAATTTCCATGTATATATTAACAAGTATTTCTCTCTTCTTCACTCCAGAGTACTTTGAGGTATTCCATGTAGTTTAAAGGCTTAATTGGTTCAAATTGGGCAGTAAACTACCCCTGTATATTTTTCAGCTCTGAAATCTCTCCTGCCTTGAACGAGGCAGTCAACACCAGGCAGTACCATAAGCAAGAGAGCACAAGTGATTTGAATAGTGTGACTAATAGCATTATTTCCCTTCTTTGTAAAGTTCTCATAATCAACCCTGTCATTTTTTCTGTCCTTCAAGATATTAGCCTGAGTGAGTAAAGTTTATAATGATTTGGTACAGAAAACTTATTCAGGAAATGTGTCACTAAATTTGTTGGAACTCTCTGCTGCATCTGATACCAATGACCATGGATTACTGTTAAGTGATCTTTTTGGCTGTGGTTTTGGGGATACTGGTGCGTCACTTCTAAAATTAGTACCTTTCTGGTCAGTTGTACCAATTAGTAACGGAGCTGTCTCCTAAGTACATGTATATTGCTGATATGTTTGTCCCTTTTACATCAAGCTTGGGATAGTTTCTGCAAATTGCTGCTGACCCTTTTAAATTGACTGAGCCTTGTGCTGTTGGGGAGAAATCATTCCCAGTAAGAGCTTTTGGTCAACAGGTTACCAGTCTGTTAAGAGTCAGGAATCTGTTCGTGCTTTCAGGTCTCAGTTGGAAACACATCTCTTATTCAAACGTTAAGCTCCTGATGATAATACTGCCACTGTTTATCTGTTTAGACCAACACCTTTTTTTTTTTTTATCAATTTAAATCTATCCAACCTTACTTCTAAGAATTTATAACAGCTCTTAATAATTATTAATTAATTCTTTCATCACTTCTCTTTCACCTGACACCATTATTGTTGCATCCTCCATGTATAGCATATCTCAAAGTCAACCTTTATTAACTGGCATACTATTGTTCATTTCCTTCTTCAAACATGCAATATATAACATACTGCTAAATGTTTTCCTCAGCATAATTCAAAAGGTACCGACTGTCTTTTACACTTAGAACCTCAACATTACGATGATACCTTCCACAATACTGTCACCAATTTTTCAGTTAAAATCTCCACAAACAATTATTCTTCAGTTTCTCAAACATGCTGTAAACGCTCCCTCAGTACCAACTAGAATATCTCTAAGACTGTTTTGCTTTTGGCATTATATAAATTGATTATTATCCACTTCTTACATTCCACTTTCATTCTAAACCACAACTTCGTTTTAGCTGCAAAAGTTTAAATAAAAACCTACATGAAGACTGATAAATTGAAAAAATGGAGTGCAAAAACGATGTATTTCAATAAGGAAAAATGTTAAAGGATAGAAACATGTAAAAGTTGAAACTGGATCCATGAAGTTTTCAAAGAATTTTAAGAACATATGATGAGAGAAAAAGATCTTGCTGTGATAAAAAATTAATCATTATAAGACTATATAAATACAGTACAGTAGTTCAATTCCTGATAGCCTTTCAATTTAGAGAGAGATACTGTGTTCTAGAGATTATTTTAATGAAAAATTAAACAAAAGAAGAAATTCAGAGACATAAAACAAACTAAATACCAGAGTTAAGAAATATGAGCTTTGAAAAAAGGTTTAAATAACTTAATTTCTCTATATGAGTAACAGAAAATGAGAGGATATCCATATAAAAGATAAGTTGCAGAAGAATCGATGTAAAGATTGCAGGAAGTATATTTTTAGAAAAAGACTATAATGAGCTCTGGGAGGGTGTATGCAATAACTACTGTAAAATTCTAAAATATTAATTTTGACAATTACAATAACATCACGAACATAGCTATATACCAGTAACCACAAATTGATATTTTCAGACAATATGAAATGTATTTCAGTCATGGGTGATTTGCTGGATTTATGATAAATTCTAACCTTATTAAAGCATTATAATATACGTACTACATAATAAAACTAGCAATGAGATACTTATATAAAAATAAAAAGAATATAAAGTGTAGTAAAGTGAGGCACAGAGTGATAGCATGCTACAGGCTCTCTGCACAATGCTCTTGACAACTTCAACAACTGTGATTCTTTTGGAAGCCATCACAACAAGTCTGACTCTCTACAATACAACATCAAGAACAATTACATTCAACTAAATCTGCAAAATAAGCCCCAGACCCGTTGGTACTTGCAGACAGTTATATAGTAATTTTATTTTTACAAATTTAAGAAAATTTTCTCGAAAACTTGGAGATATGGTAAAGAATCACATGTGTTGAATAGATTAAATACAACAAAAAGTAGCATAGGTAAATCTGAGAAATATTGGTGACGACATCTACTTTTTTTTTTTTAAATGTTCAGAGTTGTATACTCACCTCCCTGATCATCTAGGGCAACCAAGGTTCGAATACCAGCTTCCTTTGACTGTTTTGCATGTAAGAAATCATTTGCAATGGCAATTTGTAATTGAAGTATTAGCTGTCTTAGCAAGGGCATTAAAGCATAATGAGATCTTCAGCACAAACATAACTAATGTCTCTGCAGGAAACACTTCTAAATAAATTTTCTTTTTCATTACTAGCATTATTTTTCAAACTTCATTTAAGAGCAGAATCATTATACTAGACTCACTAATCTAAAATAACTTACATTTATTACATGCAAAAAAACTGCCCTTTTACAAAAGCAGTAATGTAGATAGTTGCCTTTGTCAAAACGACGGCATTGCTTAGATCAATTATTGTTTGATACAATCCACTCTCATTGCAAATGGGGATTGTCACTTTGAGGGTAATTAATGCTCATTATGACTTAAGAGTGTTGGCAGCAGGCATTAAGCTAGGGTAAGAAACACATGAATAATGGGACCACCTTTAGCCTTAGTTGCAAGATAAGACAACTATTTTGAACTTTATAAACACATCATAGAGTCAATGTTTTCCCTAACTCACTAAATTTTGGCAAGTATTACTGCTCAGTTTATTACTGAATTTAGTAGACAATGCCATGAATGATCATTAATAAAATCCTTTGTTACTTGAAAACTTTAGGTAAGATTTTAAAGAGATTGTTTTTAGGACTGAATCATCAGTGTTTATTTACTCTGATTATTATTTTTCATACATAAAAAAAATAGAATAATGTAACTGGTTATTAATAAACAAATTTAATGTGCACCAGTAATTACTATAGCTTCATTCTAATAAATTTTATTGAAGGTAAACAATGATTTGAAAATATAAATATTCATAGTTTAAAACAAGTAGGATACATGTATAATGCAATATTTAAGATACAATATAATAGAGCACTATACAAAAAAACTGACAATGTACAGTTAAGTCTTGATTATTTGAGATGATAATAAACTTAGCCAGTTGTGTGCAACTAACGTCTAGACTCTTAGGAACACAATGAGTGTAACCTGAAGAATCTATTATGAGTGAGCCCAAATCCATTCTCCATCATATTTTAGAATTAACAATTTAAGTTCATCTGACTGTATATCCTTAAATTTCCTTGACATTAATAGCAAAATTCTTAAGAAAGCAGAATGAAAGAAAAGAATCTCAAGTTGAATAAATTCACTGAAAATACTAAACAAAACTCTTATACAGAAGCTCGTTTTATTTTGAACTTTGATTGGATAATGCAACCAAGGCACCCACAAATGTCTTACCCCAATCAAAAGTGCTTTATTACCTTTAGAATTTTAATTACTGTAATTTACTAGGTGACCCAAAGAACAATGTCCATCATCCAACAAAACCACTAGGAATATTTTTTAACAGATTTGACCTGTAACGAGGAAGTGCCAACTGGGTGGCCCACACTACCCATTCTCCATCAGTATGCTGGACCACTTGCCAAAGTGAAGGATATACTACACTAATCTCTTCACTCTGAATCCTCAATTTTATTTTCAGACAACTTTACTGAATTTAATTTTAGAATTAATACATATACAGTGGTCCCTTGCTTTTCGTAGTTCTCGGCAATTGTAAATTTCGCCAATCATAGGGGTATTTTCGTATAAACATGGACTCGCTTTTCATAGGTTGACTCGCGAATAGTAGTTCGTCCGGAACGCGTACGTACGGTGTGAGCCGGGGCGGCCTCCCTACCCAGCCAGTCTGGCATTGTTTACTAGTGAGTGAAGGTCCCCTCAAGTGCCCTACAAAATATTTCATAATATTCCACTCATTTTAGTGCTTGCAATTACTAAATAAGCTACCATGGCTCCAAAGAAAGCTCCTAGTGCCAAGCCTGTGGTAAAGAAGGTGAGAAATATGTACAGTGACAAAGTCTTGGGCCATTTTAAGGAAGTGTTAAAGAGACGCCAGAAAAAGAGCTCTCTCCACAGTTGCTTTGCGAGACAGGACTAGAGTGACTCAAGGTGGTCCTAGTGGCATTAAGAAACAGAGAAGAGAAGCAACCCCAGAGAAGCAATTGGTACCTGAGGTGTTGCTGGAAGGGGATTCCCTTTCCAAACTGTAAACAATCCAATCTCTCTCCTCCTCCAGTCTCCCATACACTAAGAAGAATCTCCAATAAAGGTAAGTGTTATGCTGTTAATGTTTCATTCATCATTTCCCACTGTATTATTTATGTACTATATGTATATTTCATGTAAAAATTTTTTTTGTTTTAATACTTCTGGGTGTCAGGAATGGATTAATTGTATTTACATTATTTCTTATGGGGAAAATTGACTCGCAAATCGTAAATTTCGTTTATAGTAGCTCCTCCGGGAACGGATTAATTATGAAAAACGAGGGACCACTGTATATAATACTGAACTGAAATACTGCATTTAATGAAAAAGTGCCTCAGATAATTAAGACTTGATACTGTAAAATACTGTTAAATATTTACACCAAATACTTTAGTTTAACAGCCCTTCTATTTGTTCCAGTTCAAACAGTCAAAGGCACAAAATAGTATTAACAAAATATTAATATAACAATTACAAATATAGTGTTGATGCTTCAGCAAAAACAACCACACACCTCTTCGCATAGTGAGAGCATCCGTCGTGTGGACTCTAAGGTCTCATCTGTCTGTTGGTTGGCCTTAAACTGCAGTTCCTGCAGGTCAGACCTGGGTTCCAATGCCACGTCACCCATCGTCTCCTGAAAGAACAAAATCAGTTACATTTGTGTCAGGATTAATATCTGCCCTGTTTCTGATGGTGTGTGTGTGTGTCAGCCAAGTTGTTATCATGATGTTCATATAAGCTGACCAGGATCAACTTCCAACACTGTACAGTATATAATCACGAATGGGAGCTGAATGGATCCAAAACTCTCTTGGTATACTATTAACATACATGTATTCCATAATTTCATCAAGAATTTCTTGTCTGAACAGATTACTGTAGTGTTTATCCTTTACATTTGTACTAAGAAAACTATTATAAAAGAAGATATACAATGTATATTATTTCATTAAAAATGTGCATTTCAGTATGCTTTCACAATATATAATCATTACTGCACATAATAGTATACATATTAACAGTGTGTACAAAATTTTAACATTCCTCTTGACTGACTAATGATTTTGGGATCAGCATCCTGGTAGACCAATCTCAGTAAAGTCCTCCTGTTTGATGGCTCAATAAGTAAGAAAACATATGTAGATGTGTAAAAATAATATACTTACATGTTTTAAAGAAACAGCTTTAAAAGTTAACAAGCTCCCCAGCATCAACCATCATAAGAAAATTAGAAAGACATTCTCCTATCAACCAATAAAGGTATTTTTGGTATTTTCATCATATATTTCTAAATAACCATGTCGTATGTCATAAGAGGCGACTAAAATGCCGGGAGCAAGGGGCTAGCAACCCCTTCTTCTGTATACATTATGTACTAAAGTTGAAAAGTGAAACTTTTGTTTTTCTTTTTGGGCCACCCTGCTTGGGTGATACAGTTGGTTTATTGAAAGATGATGATTTCTAAATAACAAATGTATATACTATCTGCCTACATATATATGTATTTCTCACCTTCTATCAGATATGTAACTGACATTCTGAATATTTTTTTCAATTAAATTTTCATGTGGTCTGTCATCAATTTCTCTCATACCCAGATGCTGAAAGACTACCTGGAAGTCATTCTTCATAAGCACTGAGCAATGGAATTGGCTCAAAATAGGACTGAAAATGAGTGAAATCACCAACATGTAAATTGCCTCTAGATAACAAATTTTAAGCTTGTGTAATTCTGCACGTTTTCCATCAAATCTTGCATGTTTGGTGTCATCACCTTCAAAAAAAAAAAAAAAAAAAAGATTGTTTACTGTGTCAGAAGATAATTTTTTTTTTAAATCGTGATACTGTCAGCACTTTTAATTTGAAGGGTCACAACAATCAAAGGGTTAAGAAGCACAGGAAAGTAAAGACATGTGTATAATAAATATAAGTAGAAGTTTGTAAAATTTATCTGTCATCTTATGTATTGATGTGAAAAAAGTAAAGATCAGCATTCATTAAGAGGACTCCAGTACTTCCCTGGATGGTTGTTGTCTACCAACCTGCTACTTTATATATAAACTGTACACAGTATGTGTTAATTTACTAAAATATATCTATCAATTCATACCTAGAGGGAGTTCCGGGGGTCAATGCCCCTGCAGCCTGGCCCATGACGGAAAACTTTCTATAAAATTTATTTAATTCAAGTTTATTCTCTATAATGGTTACAATGTGGGGTTTACAGGTTTTGGGTATTTGTGGTTTACATGTATATAAATACTAATTACAGAGGGGGCCACTAGGACACCTAGCATGGCTAGGCATTTCCAGCAGACTTAGATTAATTCTTAACATTAAATCCTTACAGATTATAGTATTAAGGCTAAGTGACTACATCATAATTTGTGAGTTTAGCAATGTGAATGCTTTTGTTCTGGCACAATACAAGGTGTCTATATTTGAGTACCATAGGCAAACTTATGACTAGTTAGGATTTATTATTTTAAGATTAAGATTAGTATTTCTGGGTTTATAGTCAGTGGGCGAGTGAGTGTAATTTTGAACCACCAGGTGGTTATCATGTAGTTAGTTGTCGGGGTGGATCAGGGAGACAAGACGTTTTCTAACTGTAGTTTTGAAAGTGATGAATGTGTCTGCAGTTCTAGAGTTTTCAGGTAGGGTGTTCCAGATTTTAGGTCCTTTGAAATACATTGAATTTTTGTAAAGGTTTAGTCGAACACGGGGAATGTCATAAAGATGTTTGTGTCTGGTGTTATGCCTGTGGATCCTGTCACAACTATCAAGAAAGCATTTTAGGTCAAGGTTAATATTGGAATTTAAGGTCCTGTAGATATAGATTGCACAGTAGTAAGTGTGGATGTTCTGAACAGGGAGTAAGTTTAGATCTATGAAGAGTGGGGGGGGGGGGGGTTGCCAGGAATGGGATTTAGTGATTATTCTTACTGCGGCTTTTTGTTGGGTTATTATTGGCTTTAGGTGTGTTGCTGCAGTTGAACCCCAAGCACAGATAGCATAGGTGAGGTATGGATATATAAGTGAATGGTATAGTGTTAGAAGGGCAGTTTGCGGTACGTAGTATCGTATCTTGGAGAGGATCCCCACCGTTTTGGATACTTTTTTTGTTATGTGTTGGATATGGGTGCTGAAATTTAGGTTGTTGTCGAGGTATAGGCCAAGGAATTTGCCCTCATTATGTCTGGCAATTAGAGTGTTGTCGATCTTAATGTTAAGTTGTGCAACACCTGCTCTGCTACCAAACACAATATAGTAGGTTTTGCCAGTGTTAAGTGTAAGTTTATTGGCTGTCATCCAAGGGGAAATTTAGCTTGTCTGACCACCTGCCTAAAAAGCATGACATACACATACATTTGCATACTGTACATCAGTACATTAATTCTACGGAAAAGCAAATAAAACTGATGTGGATTGGGTTTTAATGGGCAAGAGGCAAGCAAGTTTCAATAATAACTATTAAGTACGGCTATATTCTTATTAATTGGATAGCTTAGTACAAAAAACATTTGTTTATAACTTATGTTAAGACAAACATTTAAAAATAGTACTGTACTATTTTTCTGACTAATATTTCCTGCTTAAATTATATTTTATTAATATATTTATAGATGCTACATTATCTGCATTAACAAAAAATAAAGTATGTAAAGTAAAAGGACACAAGTGCAACTAATGTGACATTTATTGTGGCAACGTTTCGCTCTCCAGGAGCTTTATCAAGCCAATACAAACAATACATGGACACAGAGGGTATATAAAGGCTCTGAGTGAGGTGCAATACTAGTGAGGTAACATTTCGTTGTTCACTAGTGGTGGTGGTAGTAGTAGTAACAAAAATAATACAATAAGGAAGAGCAATTAATTCGTACATGAGTAAAAGGATATAAAAGCTATTACTTGGGTAACATAAAAATAGGTTGGACAAATATAGACTGGAAAGAGGCAGGTTTTTTCAGTGTTCACTCTCAGTAATGTGCTTTGTGTAGTATAACAGGAGAGACTATGTGATGGCAGGATTTACTGTTTTCAGGAGGATTCTTGCTAAGACTTCGGAGATGGTGAAGCTGCCGTTGTTTTGTTTAATTGTATTCGAAACAGCGATCAGTGCTGATTCAAGGCACTTGCGTCTGCGGAAATTAGTTTCTTTGATCACTAATTGGGCGTCTCTGAATTTCATGAGATGATTGGTGGAATTTCGGTGTTGTACACAGGCGTTGTTTAAGTTGTCGTTCCTACATGCGTAAATGTGTTCATTGAGGCGGGTGTCGAGGTTTCTTGCTGTTTCACCTATGTAGATCTTGTCACAGCCTCCACAGGGTATAGTGTAAACTCCTGCATTGACTGGTTCGTGGTGCTTGGTTTTGTCCTGGTTAGATCCTTTATTGAAGTGGTAGAAGCGATGGCGACTCTGGTGTTAGCTTGTGAAAGTACTTTTGAGACGTTTAGTGCAACCTGGCTGTTGGGAAGAATTATAACTTTGTTGGGAGCGGTGTTGATGCGTGGAGAATTGATGTCTGAAGAGCTCTTTTCTTGCAGTCTTTGATGAAAAAAGAAGAAATTGTAACTCAGTGAATGTTTGGTGAATGTAAGTGCATTCCTCGTCAAGAAACTCAGGACTACAAATTCTGGTATGCTCTTAGGAAAAACCCGATGATGATGCCTCTTTTGGTCTTGGTATCTTCACTGGAATAGAAGTGTGTGAGATCATTTTTATTGGTGGGTTCGATAAACTTGAAATCTTAGGTTGTTGTCTACTTTGTGAATGAGGACGTCGAGGAAAGGTAGCTTGTCATTGGACTCTTCTTCTAGTGTAAACTGAATCGCTGGTTCAACTGCGTTGAGCCTTGCCTGAAGATCCCGTACATCAAACGTTTTGGAGTTATTACGAGGACATCGTCCACGTAACGTAACCAAGTGACGCTTGAAGGGATGATGTTGGCGAAGTGTTCGGACTCTAGGTGTTCCATGTATAAGTTGGCTAGGACGGCACTTATTGGGGATCCCATTCCCATGCCGTAGGTTTGTTTGTAGAGCTTGTTATTGAAAGAAAAACAGTTGAAATTAACACAGAGTTCAATCAAGTCAACAAAATCTCCGGGAGGTAAAGGAAGATTAAGGTCCTGGTTGACTTTACGTCGTAGAACCTCGATGGCTTTTTTGGTAGGTACTTTTGTGAAGAGGGAAGTCACATCCAAACTGCTAAGTTTCTTGTTACAGATGGAGAGGTTACGGATGCGGTTGAGAAGGTCGCCTGAGTGTTTAAGATGAGCGGGGCTGATGGTCCCCAGAAGGCAGGAAAGATTTTGGCAAGAACTCGGCTAGTTGTGTGGAGCACTGCCTATTCCTGACGTGATTGGTCTGAGAGGAAAATTGTGTTTATGGGTCTTGGGTAAACCATACATATGTGCTGGTTTAGGGTTGCTTGGTAACAAGTACAGAAGTTTCTTCCCTTCTCTAGTGCGTTTGAGTATTTGTCTGGTTTTGTATAGAAAGTCTTTGGTGAGCGTCTCCCACTGTTGAGTGCTGATGGGTTCGTAGTAGATTGATCATTCAAAAGGTCCATCATTTTAGTGTTGTAGTCACTGGTGTTGAGTATGACGACTCCACCTCCTTTGTCGGCGGTGGTGACGATAATGTTGGGGTCGTTGGCGAGGTCCTTAAGGGCAGTGATGTATCTTCTAGGAAGATTAGAAGGTGGTGGTTCACATAAAGCTGCAGTGAGAAGGCCCTGTATATAACCCTTCTGGAAGTTGCTGTCACTGTGTCTATGGTTCCTGGTAACAAGATTGAGTTGATAGTTAGGTTTGCGTATGTTGGTGGTAAATTTGAGTCCCAGACTCAGTGCTTGTTTCTCGTAGTCGGTTAAGGTGCGTGACGATAAGTTGTTTATCAGGGATTCGCGTCCCATTTCCTTCCATCGACTGTTAGTGCAGAGGTACTGGAGTTTGCGATTGAGTTTGATCTTCTGTTGGAGGTTAGCTGTGGTGACTGTGCTGAGAATATGCTCAGCAGTGTGTTGGTCAATCAAAGAAACTAATTTCCGCAGACGCAAGTGCCTTGAATCAGCACTGATCGCTGTTTCGAATACAATTAAACAAAACAACGGCAGCTTCACCATCTCCGAAGTCTTAGCAAGAATCCTCCTGAAAACAGTAAATCCTGCCATCACATACTCTCTCCTGTTATACTACACAAAGCACATTACTGAGAGTGAACACTGAAAAAAACCTGCCTCTTTCCAGTCTATATTTGTCCAACCTATTTTTATGTTACCCAAGTAATAGCTTTTATATCCTTTTACTCATGTACGAATTAATTGCTCTTCCTTATTGTATTATTTTTGTTACTACTACTACTACCACCACCACTAGTGAACAACGAAATGTTACCTCACTAGTATTGCACCTCACTCAGAGCCTTTATATACCCTCTGTGTCCATGTATTGTTTGTAATGGCTTGATAAAGCTCCTGGAGAGCGAAACGTTGCCACAATAAATGTCACATTAGTTGCACTTGTGTCCTTTTACTTTACATATTGTCGGTAATTCTACCAACTTTATTACAAAAGTATAATAATAATAATAATAATAATAATAATAATAATAATAATAATAATAATAATATATATTCCAATAAGACACATTTGATACAAAGGTTTCTTACATCAAATGTGCTGTATTCCAGTAATTAATATTAATTATGAAAAACTGAAACAAAGTGATACGTACATTAACTACACTATGTCTAAATTCACAGAAGGATACGAGGCAACTTAGGAAAAATATTTCTTGGTACAGTATAGTACAGTATAAACAATAGAAAGCAGATATACTGTACAGTACTGCAATTGAAAATAAAACAAGTTATGAAGATAGTACATTATAAATTATTTCTTCACAGTTTGAGTGAGTGCTGAGATGGGTTTCGAGGACAGTTAGTATAGTACATGTCCTAGCCACATAGGGGAACAGTGCGTGTTACATCCACAAGGGGTGGTAATGTACGTCATGCAGTGTGTTACAGCTACAAGGTCATGCAGTGTGTTGCAGCTACAAGGTCATGCAGTGTGTTGCAGCTACAAGATCATGCAGTGTGTTACAGCTACAAGATCATGCAGTGTTACAGCAACAAGGTCATGCAGTGTGTTGCAGCTACAAGGGGCAGTAGTATGTTACAATTAGCAGGGGCAGTGTAACATAGTACAATTACAAGAGTTAAACCACAATGAGTGGTAGTATGTTTCAGCTTTAATGAGTGATTGTATATGACTACAATGAGTGATAGTGTATGTTACAACTCCACTGAGTGATAGTATATGTTACAACTCCACTGAGTGATAGTGTATGTTACAACTCCACTGAGTGATAGTGTATGTTACAACTCCACTGAGTGATAGTGTATGTTACAACTCCACTGAGTGATAGTATATGTTACAACTCCACTGAGTGATAGTGTATGTTACAACTCCACTGAGTGATAGTATATGTTACAACTCCACTGAGTGATAGTGTATGTTACAACTCCACTGAGTGATAGTGTATGTTACAACTCCACTGAGTGATAGTGTATGTTACAACTCCACTGAGTGATAGTATATGTTACAACTCCACTGAGTGATAGTATATGTTACAACTCCACTGAGTGATAGTATATGTTACAACTCCACTGAGTGATAGTGTATGTTACAACTACAATGAGTGATAGTATATGTTACAACTACAATGAGTGATAGTATATGTTACAACTACAATGAGTGATAGTATATGTTACAACTACAATGAGTGATAGTATATGTTACAACTACAATGAGTGATAGTGTATGTTACAACTACAATGAGTGACAGTATATATTACAGCTACAATACTTTAAACGTAAACATTTTAAGAGTAATTACATACAATGAGGCACAAAGAAGATGCAGGGCTGCCATAGCTATACTTCCCTAACTACAAACATTTAATTACAAACATGCAGTATTAGTAGCTTATAAAAATTCCTGCAATGTAATATATATAAGATGCAGTACATGCACAATCTTAAAAGCATTTATAAACTAAATTTTTATGTTTTTATCAATGATTTTTTGTTACACACTATAGTGCTCCTTCCAAATTTGTGGGAGGACAAGTTTCAAGAGGGCCCAGCACATACTGCTAAATACTGCCAGTAATAAGCTAGTTTTAACTCAGAAAATAGACAGGATTTAACTTTGCAGTAAGCCAGTTCTAGAATTAGTTGGTCAATGAGTTGTTTACAATTGTGTTATTACAATTTAATGAATGAAGTTAATTTTGCTCAGTCTTGGACTCCTGTGATTCAGGGACCATCTCTCTCGTAATATAGATCTAACTTCAAATATGCGAACTTGGATACTTGGAATTTATTGGAATTACTGTACAAATAAATAAAATAAAATTCTAAGGTTATGAATGGTCTGTGTGCAATGTGTATGCACATGTGTATATGTATACAAGAGTTGTGAGAGCCCAGTCCTTGGAAACTCTATGGTCATCAAGGAAGATATCCTACTGAAGAACGTATATTCTAATGTGAATGTTCAATCTATCCATACCAAGGTAATACTGTACATACTATACTAAACCAATATTGCAATTTCTACCACTATTAAACAGAGCTTGGAAATAATGGACAATTATTCCTTCTTGTGATATGACCATGGCAAAAACAATCTCATCTAACAACCACAAAAGATAAATAAAATTACTCTATTGTACTTTTAACTCCTTTATTTTAATATTTATTTTGCATATTTGTAAACTGTGTATACTGTAGGGTATTATGCATACAGCTGAGTATTTTTTTTTTTTTTTTTTTTTTTTGCTATTTTTAAACATTTGGGTTTACTGAAGAATTAGCATTACTGTACACCCTTCCCCCACCCCATTAGTCTATTAAATCAAAGCTTTACTGCATTAAGCATCCATATACAGTACCATATTACTATACATATGTTATGAGTTTTGGTAATACAGTACTGTACATCATGTTTTATTATGATGTGGATGAGATGTCAAGTTTAACATGTCAACAAAATGAAGTGTATAAAGGTGTCCTTTACCTGTGGTACACTGCCATGTCTTACTGCATTACATAAGCCACCTTGGACCAATATCATGAGAATGCTTCATCAAATTCATGGCAAATATACATTTATAGTAGTGTACTTGAGTACTTGTCTAGGTTCAAGTGCTTTGCTTCTCTATAAATGTAATATACATCACCTATCAACTCAATGACTAAAAATATCTACACCATATTTGTATAATCTGCAATTTCTAGCTTGATTATAATCTTTGTACTCCTTTACTTAAATACATAATAGTCATTGTAACAGCTAATACGAAGAAACAAACGAGCATCTCCTTGTCTAGAGGCACCACTGAGCAATATTACTATTGATAAATTAGACACTTGTGTAACACTTGGGTGTCTTTGTTTTGGAAATGTTTTACCAATTAGTGGCTTCCTCAGTTCAATACGAGAAGAATGGTTGAGGATCAGGAGTTTGAGGTAATCAGTCCCTCAGCCCTGAGTCAATGATCAGGCCATCAATCTTTTCAAGACTGATGGCGTGATCATATCGACTCAGGGCTGATGGACTTATTAGCTCAAACTCCTTCTGATCTTCAACCATTCTTCTCTATATTGGACTGAGGAAGCCACTGAATGGTGAAACATTTCCAAAACAAAGATACCTAAGTGTTATACAAGTGTCTAATTCTATCAACTTGATTCTCTGAACCATTTATCTACAATATTACTATTGCTAACTCTCCTCTCAAGCACATTAATAACATTCTACTGCTCCATACTGCTTCATTACCACAACTTTTAAAGCTGTAGTTACACTGTATCCATATTTCTTAAAACTACAAAAAAGTACTTTACAACTGATCTAAGATTATCTATAAAATCTTTCCAAAACCACACTCTCCTAGCTACTACTGATGGTGTTGACCTGTGTCAGCTCGCAGTTATTAACACTTCTTGAAAACTTTAAATATTCAAACTTATTCCAAAAATATAAAAAACTACCAGTTGCTGGAATAATGAACCTTGTATACAGTATTTTCAATGGACAAAACAGTAGTAAAGTTTGTCTTGTACTTATAAAATGTAAGAAGGAAATAATACAGTATTGTAGTAAATATAATATATAAAACTTGGTTCTGTCTTGTATGAAGCCTTAAAATTAATTACACATGCTCTGAAAATATTTCACAACACAACTGATTCCACTTAAGTTAAAGATATCTTACAATAATGGTGAAAAGAAGTCATTTTGGGTATTCTGCATACAATGTAGCACTGGTCACACCAGAGCTCAAGAGCAACTGAATTCAGAAAGTGAATTCCATGGTTACATTGGTTGAGCTAACAGCACACTAGCATTAACTGGAGACTATTGCTATAGCAGGCATGAAATAGGAAAGTGTCCAAGATGCGACTTAATTTAGGCACTGGTGCTGGCATGGTGAACTGCCTAACTCACCGTAGCCATGGTGTCTTGTTCCTATGTTAGTATGAAAAACCAAATCAGAGGAAATAAAGTGAGATTAATCATTATAATGATACTAGATACACCAAGAATATAACTGGGGTTAAATAAAGGTATTAAATGTGGTTATTATGAATATGAGAAATGGGTTATAACAAAGTTTATTTCCACATAATATAGTGTATGACCAGAGGCAGATAAGACACAATAACATCTAAGATATCATTACTTTTCCCTAGGCAATTACATCAGTATCAAAGCCAATCATGCATGAGTGTACGTGTGTGCATTCACACAAGTGGAGTCTGAGACGATAATTTATACAGGAATACAAGAGAATTCCGCATAGTAGGCATCATTCATAACTACAACCTCTGCCTTGTTGTATGTAAAACAACAAAATAATTATAATCATAAATAACTATACACTAATTTTTAAATAAGGCAATTTATGTTTTCTAATATATGAATTTATAACTGAATATTACTTTATCATAAGAGGCAGTAGACTAAATTAAGAAAACTGTCCAGAATACATCGGGTATCACACCCAATCATGATATGTATGTGTGATAAACATGTGAGTTCTGAGTACATAATGTGTTTCAAAATCAAGTATAATATAGTAGATTTGCATATCATGAACCTCGATTGTAATGTCAAACAGACAACTTTTCCTACATCCAATTATTATCTGCGTTCATTTTCAATAATGTAATCTCTAACAAAACATTAAACTTAGGCAAATATGAAACTGTCAACACTGCGACCATTATTAAAATGTTATAGATTAAGATGTAATTTTAAATACAAAGTGGAGAATGGGTGCTATGATTGAGTGAATTTGCTGACAACCTCTGCTTCAATAACTACAAGCTTTTCCACATCCATACACCACATAAAACTGAAGTCCTCAACTAAATACACTACAATTACCTCCCTTCAATTATAGAGTAATAATTTTAAACAATGGGATGTCTAGATACACTATAAGTTCTCACATACACAACTCTCTCCCACATACACCACAACTCTCTCCCATATACCACAACTCTCTCCCATATAGCACAACTCTCTCCCACATATGCTACAACTGTCTCCCACACACACTACAACTCTCCCACATACACAACTCTCTCCCACATACACCACAACTGCCTTCCATATACACTACAAGTGTCTCCCACATACACCACAAATGTCTCTCACATACACCACAACTCTCTCCCATGTATACCACAACTGTCTCTTACATATGCTACAACTGTCTCTCACACACACTACAACTGCCTCCCACATACACTACAACTCTCTTCCATGTATACCACAACTGTCTCCCACATACACTACAACTACTGCTCACTCACATACACTACAACTGTCCCCAACCTAAACTCCCACATACACTACAAATGTCTCCCACATATGCTACAACTGTCTCCCACATACATTACAACTGTCTCCCACATACATTACAACTGTCTCCCACATACAACTGTCTCCCACATACAACTGTCTCCCACATACACTACAACATTTTCTCTAATACTTTAAATACCAGTACGTACTCTATATAAAAAACTTTTCAAACAATATACTCGTATAGTTGAATATATATTAAACCCCTGAAGTTATTAAGCTAAAAGCTGTTTTACATTTGGCAAAATTTTGATCAAATTAAAAAAAAAAAAGTGTTTAGAAACTTTCATCCCCAGAAAATTACCATTCAGTAGTATTACTCCAATAATCTTATGAAACAGTATTATTAATACAACACCAAATATTGGATTAGCGAGTCTGAACATTACTTGTTGTATACACTCTACCACTTACACCAATTCATTATAAACCCACAATATGGCAAAGAAATTTTAGACAGCATTTCTGTCTGAAACCTTTATCAAGAACAGATCAAAACAGTCTTAAATATTTCTCCTAATTGTGGGTTTATAGTAAATTGCTGCAGCCTGAGTAATGTGACTTAATGGTCATAACCAGTATAATATACTATACCTGCATCTCCCTCACACACCATGCACCTACACCATCAACTAAATGTTATCATGGGAATAATTAGTAGTGCTGTAACAGTTACTCTTTATAAGATACAGTGGTACTTCGGGATATGAACAGCTCCCAACTCAATCAATTATGTAAGTGTATTTATGTAAGTGCTTTTTTAAGTGTATTTTTGGGGGTCTGAAACAGATTAATCTAAGTTACATTATTCCTTATGGGAACAAATTCCTTCAGTATCAGCACTTGAACAGCCTTCTGGAATGAATTAGTTCGTATCCCAATGTACCATGTATCATGATAAATTCTATTTAAAACAACATTTTCACCTAGTAATTCGTACCTTAAGATTCCTAAGTCAACAAAACACAAAATAATCACACTTGAATATTTAGGTCAGTAGTATGCAATAATAAAAACATTAAATTTTGTTTGGTTCAATGCCTTTATAATGCTCATAAAAAAATATACACTTCACCTAATTCACTATTTGTTAACAGTACATAATGGTTAGAATAAATTCAGTATCTTTCCTTAAAAAAAAAAATAAAAAAGTGTAGTGTTTTAATTCCTAAAATGTAAATAATTACAGAATCTACAACAAATCTTCAGGCACATTAACAAATTCGTATTTGCACTAAATCTATTTAGCAGGAGTGAATGCTCAGTTTTATGTGATAGTTCTGTTTGCCTGATGCAAGTTTATTATGTAATAGTTCTACTCGATGCAAGATTATTATGTAATAGTTCTGCTTGATGGAAGATTAGCAATTAAATTTTTTTTTTTATAACCATGCAAGCACCAATCATATATCTTTCATTCCAGATAAGATACTGAGTTGGAGAGAATGAATAAGAACCTCGACAAAATAAAAATACTAGTTATAGGAGTAATGAATTATGAGGCAACCATTAACATTCCTTGTACTGTAAAAAAATATGATCATTTATAATTATATACGATTATAATATGTTGCATAACAAAGCTCAGTTACTGTATATACAGCAGCACAGTTAACATTTAACCCTTTCAGGGTTTCGGACGTACTAGTACGGCTTATGCACCCAGTGTCCATGACGTACTAGTACGCATAAATTCTAGTGCCTTCAAATCTAGTGAGAGAAAGCTGGTAGGCCTACATATGAAAGAATGGGTCTATGTGGTCAGTGTGCACAGTATAAAAAAAAAAAATCCTACAGCACACAGTGCGTAATGAGAACAACAAAAAAAAAAATGACCGTGTTTTTGGAATAAAACAGCGACTTTGCACTGTATTTTCGTATGGTATTTATTGTTGTATTCTAGTTTTCTTGGTCTCATTTTATAGAATGGAAGACATATTACAGAAATTGAGATGATTTTGACTGGTTTTACAATGAAAAGTACCTTGAAATTGAGCTCAAAGTAGCAGAAATGTTTGATTTTTACCAAAGTTCAAAAGAAAAATCATGCTAAGCGTCCAATTCACATCAACTGGAGAGTCTAATGTTCTTTCACAAGTGCACCGATATTATTTATACCATTTCTAAACTAATGCAGTAGTCTGCATAACAGTAAATCTTATTTTTTTTTGTGAGAATAAAAATTCAAAGTGGAAAGCAAAAAAAAAATTTAAGAGGGGCCTGGGGACGTGACTAATGAACAGAGGAAATGTTATTTTAGTGCCAGGAATGTCTTTGTTTATTCTGGACCTTATTTGGAAATTGGCATCTTTTGAAATTTGTGTGAAATTGGCAAAATTGCTAAATTCTGACCACTGTATTGGATAGTTGAAATCCGTAAATTGGTGGTTTCTTGTACTCATTCGATAGAAAAAATGGAGTTCTAGCGAAAGTTACGATTTTTGTCGACTAGTACATTGGAATTGGCCGAGAATAGGGCTCAAAGTGGGCAAAATCGCCGATGCATAAACATCGTCGAGACTGCTAACTTTGCGAGAGCGTAATTCCTTAAGTTTTCCATCAAATTTCATACTTTTGGTGTCATTATGATCGTGAAAAGATTCTCTATCTTTTCATAAGAATAAAATAATTTGCTTTTTTTGAAATTTGGGGGACCCTGAGAACAAGTCTCTGAGAGGGCCTGTGGACCCTGAAAGGGTTAATAGTAAAAACAAAAAGACACGAATGCAGTATAATGTGATTCTTTATTGACAATGTTTTGCTCACACAGTGGACCTCATCAAGTAAAAACATTGTCAATTAAGGTCAGCGTATACTGCATTTGTCTCGCTTTGTCCATGTATCTACATTTAATACTAGTGCTTCTGTTAAAAAAATTATTATCTATTTAAGCAAAAGTAAGAGTAAGATAGAAGGTAACAATTCACTGATACATCCTTGCTATATGACTAATCCCTTTAATTAAAGCTGACTAATTTATATCTTATAACTTCTGGTACAGTACAGTATTTTGGACACTCCTTATTATAATATATATATGTACTCTATATCTAATAAAATGTGCTTACATTTAGCTTATGAACACATCCTCATACAATTGTTTATGTCTTTTAAGTCTCTCATTAATTCCTATAGTGCCATAATAAAAAAATGCTAAATAGCTTTTAAGAACTTGCTTGTTGGAATAGGATTTAAAAATTGGGTAAAGAATTTGTCACAATTTAAATTAACTGGTCTTGTTGTAGATATTTGTGATGCTAGTTTGCAGAAAACCTATTACCTATGCTGGATATATTTAGTACTTTTAAATACTGTCCTCAAATTAACACATCCAATAGTATCACAACAAGTTCTATTTTTTCTAGTTAGTAGTTACATAACTTGGTACTAAGTATCGCTATACAAGATGTAAAAGTTCTCAGTGTTGCACTAAAATATAAAACCTGAGAAGAGAAAAACCAGTCACAGAAAAGATCATTCAGAGAATTGATCATAAGAACATAAGAAAGGAGGAACACTGCAGAGGCCTGTTGGCCCATACTAGGCAGGTCCTTTACAATTCATCCCACTAACAAAACATTTGCCCAACCCAATTT